TGCTATACATACAGTCAGTAAGTCTGCTTAAAACCAATTACTGAAGAGAAAAGGCAACCAAAATGTTCAGCAAACAACTCACTATCTCAAGTCTTCTGTGTATCAGGAGTTGAAGATGTCTGTGGAAGCACATATACATCACAGTCAGATTCAACCCAAAGACTAATTGAAGAGACTACTCTCCTATTCAGCCAGATGAAACTGTTCTTTAACCCACCAAAGCAGAATCAGAGCAATCAACAATTTCCTATACATTTCCTGTCTGGAGAGTCTTATCTTCAGCACCTTGCAATAAAAGCTAAGGTTCTTCTACTTTCATCTTTCTATCACTTTACACAATACAAAACTACATACTATCTTTGCAAAACTGTATTGTAGATGTCAAATTCACTGTTTAACTTCTCTAAAAGACTTAGCTCTGCTATGAGCTGATTTTTTTCTCTCTCTTAAAATGTGACTGAAGGCTGTGCAAAGTCAAGGGATGGATAGATTGGTTTCTCATGCATTTTCACATACAGGAATACAAAACAAAAAAGTGCATGACCTGAATTTCATAGAAATATTGCAGTGAATCAGCCTTTTGAAATATTTTTTGTATCCTGCTTTCCGAGGGTATTTGCTATCTAATTAACCCTTGTCTCAACTGAAAAGCTAACAGAAACGAATGAAGAAATAAACTAGAATTCTGAGACTCACCCCCTCACTTCTGAAACAGCCTGCTTTCCTGCAGGTTAAGTTACACAGCTGTCCTTATGCCTTTCACTCAAGCTCAGTCAGGCTTTTCTAAATAGTTACAAATAAGTATCACTATTCCTTCCCTGAAATAAAGAAGCTTTCACTTAAGTTATAAGAGACAAAAGAACAAGCTCACCTGATTTTCAGTGGAGATTAAACACAGATCCTTTAGGTTTGGATCCTTCAGAGGCTAAAGCTAATGGGAAAGTTCTAGCCAGAGTCTGTGGTCTCTAAAAGGATCTTTACTGCTTAGGCAATAAAGTGGCAGTAGTTAATAGCAGGATGGCCACTCCTCTGCTTTGGACTGAATCACTAAATCATTGCAGGAACTCATTCACAACTTCCAACACATTGCTGCACTGTCTCTGAATCAACAATCAGTGATGACAGGCTTGTCACTCCATCCCAGTTCATGTACTGTCAATTAAAACTTTGTAGTGTTGACTTATAAAGCAAAGCTATTGCTTCAAAATCACATAGCATTATCAAAACGAAAAGTCATCAGATAACCTCAACAATAAATAGTGAGCAAAACCTTGTGATTTTTAAAGCACTGAGAATGTAACCTGAGTTGCCAGCCACCACTGTCATGTTCATGACACTTTTCATCTGATCAAAATGAGAAACACTCCCAGTTTCATTCTCTCAGTTGGTCTTGGGAGAGCTACTTCCGAGACGAAACACTGTGAACAATGTTGTGGTATTGGTTAGATTGGATCGTAACTCCTTGAAATCTGTGGCACAGCAGCACCCACCCTCCTTCCATGTAAAATTAAATTTAACTATTTCTAACAGATATTTTGCAGTCTCCTTTCATATCATAGTAATGCCAACAGAACTGCTCCTGACTTACATCTTTGTCCAAGGTGAGAGAAGCCAGCTTCTTTTATGACAGGTCCTACCTAACTATACAATGGGACATAAAGAATGGCACTGTGGCCCATGGTGTTTGGTTTGATGGCATACAGAGCCATAGTTCTGGATGCTCTTCTGAACTCCATGCTTGATACATGTCTGTCCTGGTATGGGCAGCTCAGATAGAAAACTCCCTACAACACTTCAGCTTCTCTCTTTTCAGAGGGATGTATTTCTGAAGATGTGTGACAGTCACCAACAGCTTTTCCTGAGGCACTATTCCAGGGCATGAATAACACAGCTGGGTGATTTCTCTTGCTGGCAAAGCCGTGACTGAGGATGGTGACCCTAAATGTGGATATGACCTCCAAACAGAGAACCAGATGCTCACAAGCTTCATCCATAGTGTCAGCACCACAGGAATCAATGCTGTCTGCAGCCTTATGTAGAAACATGCACATACAGAGACAGCAACTTGTCTAAGTATCAAGTATATCAAGTCAGCATATGGAAATGATAAACCAGTCCTACCCATACAGATACCACTAAAAAAACCCACTGACAACAAACCATACATTGTAATCACCATCGTGTCTGAGTCACTGCCGAGTTAAAAACATACTGTATAATTTTGTCACATACTTTATATCAAATCACAGGTAACAAGAAAGTTGAATGACACACTGTTTATAAACGCATACTTTTCATCACAGCACTCTAGTGAGCATTACACAAGCTTTAGGGGGCTGCTGGAAATGTGGCTGGTATAATTCCCATTTTATTATTCAAGAAAGTGAGGACACATTACTTTTCCAGCATCAAGCACACAGTAAGCTGTCTATCCAGCAAGACACTATCTGAAAACCCAAGTCTGTATCAGCCAACTTTTACATTTTTCTTTCCAAAATATAAGTCTCCATTTTGAACACTTACACAGTCTGATCCAAAACCAGCTGAAAAATATTTTGTAGACTTCTCATGTTTGGTTTCAGACTTCACTATCTGTACAAGGGCT